ATTTAGAATACATTTAATGTTTATGTGTTCAAGTCTAAAGTTTTTCTCTGCTTCTTCATTCTTACACTAAAGAGTCATATGTGACAGAAGAAACAAAATGCATATAATCGTCTACAAAATACGTAATTCTTTAAATTTACTTTCTTCAATTTCCACTCTTTTTTTGAAAAGTAAATTCTATAAAATTTATCTTCACCTCGCTATGATTAAAAACTTCATCCAAAGTAATGAAGAAAAAGAAAAAATAATTACTTAATTTGAATTTAAAATTTAAATTAATTTTTTTTTACTTTAAAAAGACAAAAAAAGTTAAGATGCTGCATCCATTGAGCATTTATTGAATAAGCAATTAATTATCGAAAAAATCGTTTTTCTCGTATTCTGTGATCCAAAAACTATAATTATTGTTTTTATAAAGTTAATCATATGTAACTGATGGCATGTATGCAATTTTCAGTGACGCTGATAAATTAAAAAAATGAAAATATTTCAAAGTTTATATAATTTAATGAAGCAATTGCTATAAATTGATCTTTTTCTCTATAAAAAGTCACATGATAATAACAGATAAGACTGTACGAGTAATTATAGCTTCATGGTAAGTTCAATATCTTTCATTCTGTAGGCATCATGATCGAATCTCGTTTGTTGCACTCTATTCAATAACTTAATAATGTGTTAAATTGAAATAAAAATATCATGTAGCGATAAAAATGGATCGATACCATGATATAAAGCACAATTTTTTAAAATTTAACAAATTTTGGATATTCTAAAACGCGTTTCGACGCGTCTAACAATAAATAACGTCAGGATGAGTTTCTCTATTAGAACGCGTTAGGACACCCAAAAATGTTGCATTTTAGGTGCATCCAAACGTAGCACAAACTTAAACGCATTTGTCTGCGTTTCAAACTGGTATCGCGTTAGAACACCCGAAAATGTTGCATTTTGGATGCATCCAGACGCGTGAAATTACATTGCTGACAAACGCTAGGGGACGCGTCGAAAATTAAAAAATGAATACATGGGAATTCATCGTAGATTTCATGTATTTTTTTCCAACCAAGCGAGTGACAGATAGACATGTTCATACCGCTTCATAGATTTCAATGGATTGGCAGATTTTTTTATGACTTTGAATACTACATAAAAAAAAATTCAGAACTGCTCACAATATAAAACTTGAGATAATCCCCTAGTCGAACATCTTGTGAGCAAGATCTTGAAATCTTGGGATCAATAAGTAAGATTTTATCAAGATCTTTAAAAGATAATTCGTTTATTCAGATCTTGATCGTATCAGATTTATTTGCAATAAAGATCTTGATGAGATCATGTCATGGTAAATTCCGATTTCCAGGAAATTCAAAAAAGTGATTATAGAACAAATTTCATGGAAATTTAATTGGATACTTTTAAGGATAATCATAAAAACTCTTCTAACAAAAACAGAATATAGAAATGAAGTTGAAATCTGAGTTACGTAATCAAAAATTGTTTAATTATCTATATTTTATATGCAGGAAATATGATTATTGATTTTTCGATAGAAAAGATTTGGAAGAGATTTGCATTAGTGAAGGCATGTGATACCCAATGAAATTAAAGACTTAAACAATAAAGAGAAAAGTAATAATCCAAACTGTTTAAACTTTAATTCATTTTTTTCGAAGTTTACTCTATATTTATAAATGCTGTCGATTTTTTTGAAGAAAAGACTCACGATTAATTATTAGTTCTTCAAAGTAAAAATATTGTTCAGATTTTAATTTTTTTAAAGAGAAATTTTCGATGAAAAATACAAAATAATATAATTAATGTTTTAACTAGATTTTGATGTTAATAGTCTTATCATCAGATCATTTTTTTTGTTCAATACACTTTCTCTAAAGTAAGAGTGTAAACATATTGTAGAGATTTTATATTTTAATTTTGTAAAGACAGCAAATCAATAGTGACGACGATGGATCTTTTTTTGTAATAAATATAGATATATATAAGTTTTTTATTTTTTAATGAATTTTTAAAGTTTCTTTTGAAGAAATAGAATAGAACAAAAAAAGAGAAATAAAAGAAATAAAAAAAGTAATTATTTAAGTTACGCTAGGTCTTTCGAATTTTTCTTTCTCAGGCGAATCAATATGGAGAATAGAAGTGTATACATTATTCAACAAACATGTTTTTTGCATTAAATAAAAAATTTTTTGATATGATTTTCATGAGTATGCATCAGATCACGTTTAGCAGGATGAGTATGTTTCATGATAGGCTACTGTCTATTATCACTCTTATGCGACTCTAGATTGCGTGAACATAATTCTTTGATAAATAGAAATTGCACAAATATGGAAATAATATATATCATAATATGTCCAGGGTGTTAGTCTCTATTAATCAACATTCACATTCACACCCACATCCGCCCTCACCCACACCCACACCCCAAACAGAATATTGAATAGATGAACATGTGTTATTGTTTTGCGTAAAGGAAGTAGAGAATATACAGCAGGTAAGCTTATCAACAAATGATATTACATCTGACACACATAAGACTAAGCATATATCTCTTAGAACTAAATTTGTTTACTTTTTCATATAATACAATGCAGAGTTGTAACCAATCAAGACATACTAGACAAATTCGGTTCGGTCGGTCTAAAAATATTTTCAGACCAATAAAAGCCAGCGAGTTCACAAAGTTTTTTAGGTAATAATATCGATATTAGAAGTCAGTATTAGTTGGTTAATGGAAATAGCTTCAAAAAGCATTTTTACATACCTTAAGGAGGAAAATCTTTGGTTCAAGTTTTTCATATATGTTTGGTTGCTCAAAGATGAAAATGTAAGATATCTATATATAGCATGACAAAACCAGTCATTTAGTCATCAATTGACTGGTACATACCAAGTTTTGAGTTTTCTCACTCAACTTTTATAGACAAACCTAACGTTTCTCTTCGCGTGACAATCCAAGCCTAAATTTGACCTTCAAAAAAGGGTGTGGGTGTGTGGGTGTGGGTGTGGGTGTGGGTGTGTGTGTGTGTATGTGGGTGTGGGTTTTAGTGTTCTCTTCATCTAAACACGCATTCGTATCCAACCACAATTCTACATCTACACAGCAAGCCGGCCCACGACCATACACGGACACCCATACTCACACCGTCATCCCACGCCTACAGCCATACCCACTATCACAGTTGTACCCCACACCCACTACCACAGTTGCACCCCACATCGACATCCACATCCTAGAAGACCGAGAAAATGTGCAATAAATTATCTATGAAAATGAAATCATTTTTTCTATGATTGTTTGAAGCACGATAGTGAACTATTCATTGGTATAATATGATGAATGTCATTCTACGACAAAATTAACAAATAATCAGTCAATAATGTTTTTTTCGTGCAATTTGCTTTGGAATTTGGTTGATTCGAACGAATCAAGCATACAAAATATATATGTTTGGTCTTCTTATCGTTTTCGTCTTCCTAGATGTCTAGCTGTACACACAGAGAAGATCTTGCTAACTATGTGGGAAGAAAGTTTGGTAACCAAAACAAGAATGAGAGCAACATTCATAAATTCTATTTCTGATATTTCGTTTTTTTCTTTTCTTTGGATGACGATGCATCTCATTTTCCTTCTTGTTATCTGTTGCTTGCTTGATGCACAGGAACCTCATCAACACTCTTGAAACGAAGGCAAGATAAGAAATCTTTCATATGAGGACCCAGATAGGCAGATAAACGGTAAAAAGCCATTTTGACGCATTGGAGGTGAAAACAGAAGAAAATAATGCTTTATAACCCGCGCACTCGACAAATGAAAGAAATGAACGGATTTCAACGCATTTTAACTTTTTGTTAACGCATTTTAACAGACTAAAGAAACATATTAAGGCAAGTGACATGTTGTAACGTATTCAATAGAAGAATTAAACAAATGAATGCTTTTTAACATAGAAATACATTCGTTTTAACCAGTCATGGGAGAGAAATTCCAGATATAGATCGTAACTCGTTATAACTTATCTATATCACATTCTTTTAAAAGAGCAATACTTTTAAAATTAAAATTCTTTCTTTTAGACTTCAAGTAAAGCTAAGAATCACAGAAACTTTTTAACTTTATGTGATTCCGCTGAGATTCGGATATTGAAAAAAAACATGGAGTTACGAACAGAACGAAATTTAGTGTCATTTCCGGGTCGAAATGTAAGTTTTTGGACAATACATTTTGAAGTAGTAGTTGCCAATGTTGTTTCATCGCATATTCCATAAAGTACATTAGTACATTTAAAAATTCGATTGTTTGTCCGCATAGAATCGGCGGATGAAATTAGAACAACCGGGCGAATATCGAAGACTGTTTCAGGACAAGTGTCAACAGAAATGATTGTCTGCAAAAATCTAATTGATAGTAAATCACATCTTCTATACATTACACATCCGTCGTTTGTTTTCCAGGAGTATCGATAGGATCAGATGATAATCGTTGATGGTTAAGGAAAACTGGAGTATATGGAAGGTTTATGCAACACTTAGCAAATGAAAAAGGTTATCTTAACTGATATATATCTTTTACAGGTACATCGATGATATATTCATGACAACTAACCAGAGCATAGGTGCAATTAAAATAGAACTCAAAAAAGCTGCCAATAAAGATACTAAGATCAAAATTGAGTATGAAATTGATACATCAGTTAACTTTTTGAATCTGACTATAGTCAATACGGATAGTAACTTAAAAACATGTCTTTATCACAAAGCAACGACTGAACCTTTTATATTACCATACACATCCGATCACCCACGATATGTTCATAGCAATATACCATTTGCTGCTTTATTACGTGCTGTTCGAATTTGTTCGGATGTACATGATTTCAACAGAGAATGCATTCATATTGATATGTCACTGTTATTAAATAATTATCCACCAAACTTTATCACAAAACAATTCAATCGATTCTTCGAAGTCAACAATGCTATGCCTGTTGTAAACGATTTGAATGATCAGGTTTGTCATCGGCTACATCAACAGTTATTATGTCAACCTGAACAACGTGAAAAGCAACTTCACACGAAGACACAAGATCCGATTCGATCATCTACAGTACTACAATAGAAGACATGGGAGAGTGTGGGTGTGGATATACTTTTATCTGATATTCACACCACACCCACAGCCTCAAGTATATCTCTTTATTTGACTCTCCCTTTATCATATCTGCCACGGTCGATAATAAACTCTTTCGCTAGCACGCGATGCATTAGTCTGTTCCTTTTGTTGTCATTGACGATGATTTAAATCATGATGGACAATCAGAAATTGTTGTTGCATATCATACTGGAAATTTTACAATTCAATCGATGTATTTTTTGAGAGTTATCTGAATATACTAATAGTAACTTTTTGATGACTACCTGGGAGCAGTTCACTCGTCTTTATTCTAGATAAAATGGTATTTTGCGTTGATATGTTCGTAGCGATGATGCATAGGTTACACTACAGAATATCTCGACCACATGTACACTTCTGCCTCGTAGAAAGGACAAAGAGGTGTCTTGTCATCATTACGACTTAGAATGAAGTATAAAAATATTAGTAACTAAGAGGTTATATATGATTGACTAATGATAAAAATGAGTATAAATACTTACAAAAAACATTTTACCGCTGATAAAAACATTCTGTCAACTCGTCTTGATGATTCTACCTTCAATGTGAGCATTCTTTCTCATAATGATTCAAGTATAACATTTCCACTCAATGTTAAAGTGAGCAAAGTCGATTGTTGAAATAAAAATACATTGACTAAATTCCTCATTGGCTAAGATGTAGTCATTTCGACTATTGATGGAGAAGGATTATTCAATAGTTTTAGTACAACTTTAGTTGAATCTGCAATTGATGTAGACATCAAATGGCTTACTCCATCTGAATTTGGTGCGGATTATGATCCTATTTGTACAAGTATTCCACCGGGTGTGGATGTGGGTGTGAATTTGGTCTAAGGTTTAGAGAATAATCACACACGCAAGCGCGCCCACGCCCACACCTTCGCTGTAGACTTTTAGTTAACAGAAGGAAGAACTTTAGAAGAATACACAAAATAATTGATATATCTAACTCGAATTACGAGCATGTAAAATACATCCAAAATGTCTTCAGCTGCCCAAAGCATGTGTCACCAAAATTTGCATTATTAATTGTGTAATAGCAATAATTCGAATTACATAGTGCACTACATGTAGATGAAACATCCATGGAGAGACAATTTGCCGAGCCTGTCGATCCACTACATCCAGGAGTGGCACTATTAATACCATAGAAACATGCAGCAACTGTAAGAGTTTTTCCTGTTGCGCAGGAAACATTAAGCACATCATTTTCGTGACCATAGAAAGTATTGTTAAACCCACTGCCTGTGAAGACAAAAGTTTATATTTTGTTTTCAAATGAATAACAGTTAAGATAGCCTTAAGTAGACTGCTCACCCCAAGAGGTTGTGTTTGCCGGACTCAGCGACAGACATTGACCACTTGTAATTGTCGAGTTACAGCATGTTCCTTGGTAACCACTATTGCAATAACAGCTCGACGGTGAATTACAAGAACCATAACCACAGTTATAGTTACAATTAGGACATAGAGCTAAAAGAACACATGCAGGAAGAAGAAGAAATGGCGTGTCTGATCGTATTCTAGTAGTCAGATATAAACTCACGAGTTTGACAATAACTTCCTAGAGAGATAAAACAGAAACAATTTTAATGGCTATCAAGTTTAAGTTTTGTCTGTCTTCCAGACATGTCCACACACCTGTCCAAGAGCTTGAAACGCATGAACAAGTACTTGTACTCGTCGATGCACTGTACGTACATGTACCACCGTTTAAGCAGGTCGTTGAAAAGAAACCAGCCACAAGGCAGAGCGGAGTTTGACAGTACGTTCCCGTTGTATAGTTATTACATGCACATGAATCGTTCGAAAGTAAAGTGCCTCTAAGAAAGAACAAAAAGAGAGGTGATTTTTTGGATATACATAAAAAGGACTAGAAGGTATCAAGGAAAAGACTCACCCATTTTGACATATTGTAGCTAGAAAGTAGAGAATAATGACACATCGTGTAGTTGAGAGATTTTATCTGAGTTACTATTATCACATATCACGTACTTGAATTACTTGACGATGATGACGATTTCTTTGTCAATAGAAGAGGTACAACTATAGCAATTGTAATAATCACAGCTGAGGCACAACCAATTAGTATAGCTACTAAAAGTTTCGATGATGTGGAGGTTTTCTCTGGAATAGTAGCTAGAGTCTGCACATCCAGTACTTTGATGACTGATGGTGACTGATTCTGAGCAACAAGTAGAGTGGGTAAATGCAAGTATTACCAGAAAACAATGAGGAAACACTCACTTCGGCTAAGGGCTTATACTTTGGAAGGTATAGATCATTGCCTGTTTGTGTGAGGGTGGGCATCGTTTGACTGTGATTATACAGTGATGTTGTTGTTGCCTTTTAAACTTAACTAAAACGAACGTGTTTTGTACTTTTTTGTTTACAGTCACACAGAAAAAGAAAGAGCACTAATAGAAATAATGGCATACGACACATTCATTCACTTTGTATGAGTTTCATACGTACGTATGAAGAGAGAAGCAGAAAGAAAACAAACACGCAGCATGTGTATATATGAGTACCCAATAATAGTCGACGAACAATTTGATTTCCTGACGTAAAAGTCTATTGTTACAAGTGCTTTGAATAATAGTTCGAAGAAGGAGAACCGTCTTTTATGGCAAACTGAACGGTATGTATGATAAAGACCGAAGAAAAAAATGTCGAAGCAAAAAAGTCGAAAAGGGTGTGGGTGTGGGTGTTGGGTGTGAATGTTCCGTTTACTCACACTCACATCCCACACCCATCATCTTCAATTTCTGATAAACATGGTATTTATTGCTTGATCATATTGTATGGGAAAATTGAATATGAGCGGAACACAGTTTTTTTTGATTATCATCCGAGGATGTGGATGTGGATGAACTTGAAAGCATGAGTAAAGGTACACTGATCTGCATCTGTCTTCAATTCTATCCTGAATGAATACCGACATTTGTGCTTCTGTAACTCAGAGTTATTCTTTGTTTTTTTTTAATTATTTTTAATATTAGAAATAAAATATGATAGAAAACTATTCGAATAATGAAAACAGACAAAATATAAATTAAATGTTGCGATCAATTTTATATAAATCAAGCTGACATATGAAGATGAGTAGTGCCTTTTAAATTGAAGGATATTGCTCTGGTATATCTTGTTGATTTTGTTCTTTCAACAATTTGACTAATTTAAACATGAAAATGATTATTAGAATCTGAAGAAATAGATCATTCGAATAAAAAGAACGAAAAAATTTACATACTAACACAACTAGATAGGTCAAACCAGCAACAATGGTAGCTGTAACAACATCGTTTGGAACAACTAGTTGACTGACATTTTGATCAATGTGATTAGTTGCTAAATGATCTGTGCAAGTGACAAACATAAACAACATAGAAAAAATCTTCAAAACTAAATAAACTACGTCGATCAATGTAAATTAGTAGAAGAGAATTGGGATTGAAACTGAACGAGTAACAAATATTTACTTACAATAAGTATACCAATACGATCCAATTTAATTATAAAATAAAGTGCAAGAAATTTAATAATCAACGCTCTCATACCTTGAATGATAAGTACTCTTCAATAAAAATACGTGTCTTCAATGTCGCTATGCTTTTAAATCATTTCTATAAGAAAACAAAAAAATTGACCTAATGAATAATTATGGTTATGAGATTGAATGAAATAGTCGTTACATTAAGCAATTGTTTGTTCTTCTGATTATTTCAAACTTCAAGCAAAAGACTATCACATTGGTGTGCGAGTGACTTTCCGAAATAAATATCAAGCTAACACATACCAGTCGTTACTATACATTTTATTGGTAATCTCTACACTCTTTTGTTTCGATGTGCAAATAAGACACATATAAAACAGAGCTGGACAACTCATTCTCAGTTTACGTCATGAGTTTCTTAAAAAAATTCTTCGATTTAATTCCACTAAATTTGTAAATCTTAAGAAATATTAAGCAAGTCAATCGTAGATCATTGCAAAATCAATTCCATTCAACTTATAGATTTCAAAACATATTCCTTTGTTCCGCTCAATTAAACTCATGAATTGAATTGAATTCATAGATCCTGAAAACTTCTTCCAATTCATTTTCGATTGTTTTAAGTCATTAGTTGAATTGACCTTTTTTGTAAATTGATTTACTCAGTTGTGATATACGAGAAAGCATCTCTACAGCGGACTCAGCAACCATGAGCTGGCCAATTGTAGAAACATATTTGCGATTTTTTTTAGATTAAGATTACGCCACACTAATTTCGACAACATTACGCAGAAAAATCTGCTGGTTTCATTTGTTCATAAATGGATCCATTCTCATGGTCACTATTTAATTATCAGATGTACCCTAATGCTCAATAACATAAATGCAATTATGTCATAAGTTCAAAATATTTCACAATCCTTTTGACGATGAATATGATATCTTGAAAACGTCATCTAACCTTAAAACAACACGACCACACATTGATACTATTTACTTTTATGGACCATTCCAGCACTACATGTTATCTGACTGCTAAAATTATTAATCATGGAAAAATCAGATTCTTTTTACAAAAAAAAACGATATTCAGTTACACGAACAAATCACCACTTACACCGTTAAACACTTATGAAAATATCTCGAAATTAAAAACCTATCTCATTCCACATTGGCTGAAAGACTCTCAACACTCGTTTACTCATACGAAATAATGAAGAGACAATTAGAACGTACACTAACTCTTTTTACTAGAGACAAAAAATATAGCACCACTCAATAATAAAGCACTCATGTGTCTTCAACCTTTCCTAAAACGAAAGCTACCTCAATATAATCATTAACACACACATAATATCCAAAATGAGTTTTATTTTCGTTTGTAAACAAAAACATGAAAAAAAAAGTGAAAAACGCATTCAATATGTCGTTTCAGTTTTCCATCAACCATCTTTAATATCAATGTTCAGGATTTGATCCGTCGTTAATTTCACTCAATCGATTTGTAACAATGATAGTTAAACATATCTCCGAATCGATTGTATTGGAGACATAGGGCAGTGAGTTTCTGTGTGAGAAAGTGCAGATAAAGATATAAGAGATGACGAAAGAATCAAATTTACCCTGTTATTTCGTAATGCATCAGCCAGCTGTTTTGCTCCAAGAGGTCCAATTTCATTGCTTCTGAGATCTACTCTGGTGAGTGTCTGTGTTGAAAAGTGCAGATATAGATATGAGTAAGATGAAGAAAGAATCGAGATTACCGTGTTATTTCGTAATGCCTCAGCCAAATATTGCGCTCCTTTATCTCCGATTTCATTGCCTGCTAGATATAATGTAGTGAGTGTCTGTGTGGAAAAGTGCAGACGAGGATATGAGAGAGATGAAGAAAGAATGAAACTCACCGTGTTATTTCGTAATGCATCAGCCAGATATTTTGCTCCTTTGTCTCCGATTCGATTGTATTGGAGATCTAGTATGGTGAGTGTCCGTGTGAAAAAGTGCAGATAGGAGTATGAGAGATATGTAGACAGAATGAGGGTCACTGTGCTACTTTTTAATGCATCAGCAAGATGTTCTGCTCCTTTGTCTCCGATTTGATTGTATCCAAGATACAGTACGGTGACTTTCTGTGCAGAAAAAAAGTGCAGATGGGGATATAAGAAATATGAAGATAGAATGAAGATTACCGTATTATTTCGTGATGCACTAGTCAGATATTTTGTTCCTTTGTCTCCGATTTGATTATCTCTAATATCTAGAGTGGTGAGTGTCTATGAGAAAAAATTTAGATAAGGTTATGAGAGAGATCAAGAGAGAATGAGGATTACCATGTTATTTCGTAATGCCTTAGCCAAATGTTGCGCTCCTTTGTCTCCAATTTCATTGCCTCCCAGATATAATGTGGTGAGTGTCTACATGAAAAAGTGCAGACGAGGATATGAGAGAAATGAAGAAAGAATTAAATTCACCGTGTTATTTTGTAAAGCATCGGCCAGATGTTCTGCTCCGAGAGGTCCAAGTTCATTGCATTGGAGACCTAATGTCGTGAGTGTCTGTTTTAAAAAGTGTGAATGTGGATATGAGAGAGAAAGAGAGAAATCAAGGTTACCGTGTTATTTCGTAATGCATCAGCCAGATGTTGTGCTCCGAGAGATCTTATCTTATTGTTTCTGAGATATAATGCTGTGAGTGTCTATGCAAAAAAAAAGTTCAAATGAGGATATGAGAGGGATAAAGAGGGAATGAGGGTCACCGTGTTATTTCTTAATGCATCAGACAGATATTGTGCTCCTTTGTCGGCAATTTCATTGTTTCTAAGATCTAGCGTGATAAGTGTCTGGTTGAAAAAGTGCAGACGAGCACATGACCGAGATGAAGAAAGAATAAAACTCACCGTGTTATTTCGTAATGCATCAGCCAGATGTTTTGCTCCTTTATCTTCAATTAGAGTGGATGGGAGATATAGTGAGATGAGTGTCTATGTAAAAAAGCTCAGATGAGGATATGAGGGCGATCAAGGGAGAATGATGATCACCGTATTATTTCTTAATGCATCAGCAATATGTTGCACTCCTTTGTCTGTGATTGGATTGTCTTTGAGATCTAGTGTGGTAAGTGTCTGTGTGAAAAAATGCAGATGGTCCTATCTTGGAATGAGTAACAAAACAGAAAAGCTTATTAGCACAGCCCCTTTGGGGTTGAAATGTAGCACTCACATATATTTGTTAACCTCATTAAATTAGTACAAAATAGGTAAAGTGAAAAAATTCTCCTAGACTATAGTAGTTTTGCAGGACAATCGAACACCAGATTAGGAGCCTTTCTAATTTTTGCATTTTGAACAGAAATTTTTTTATTTCTTCTACGGGTGCTCTATTTTTTTGTTTGCATTATTGCTATTTGCTCATTAGTTTTCATTTTTTTTAAATTCATTTTTCTTAATTCAGGATGCTTATTATTATAATCATACTTTGAATTTTCAAATCCTATAAATAAAGTTGACACAAAGTCTCTGCTTTGATTCAAAAACTCGTTAGAACGATACAAGTTGTTCGTGTCCAATCAACTTTTTGATTGACTACAGCTTTGGTTCTATTCTAAATGGAATTCGTTCTTTTCTGAGAGATTCTACTTGATGTTTGTCAGTTTAGCGCTGAAAATATTTCGAAGAAGGATCTAGCTATTGTTTCTTGTAGGCACATTCATAAACAAATTCCAGAAAACGGCTGGTGAGTGGGTGAGGATGAAGCCAGTCTATTTTCCCATCCACTCACTATCATTCTTATCCTCAAATAGTTTAGAATTTGTTGAAAATTCTAAGAGACGCGAAGAAAAATATCTTGGCAAGATTTGGAACAGGATTTTGTTAGAACCATGAAGTAGTATCCTATGATATATAAACCAAAAGTAATTCCGGAGGATCGTAATGGATTTCTCATGTGATTCGACTAGGAAAATATTGAGGATGTTCATAGCTGCTGTTCAATATGTAGTATATCTGTGAAAAATTCAACAGTTTCCATAAATTTTTGGAGATGATTTAACGAAGATCAGAATCGACTTTGTATGTTATTGAAAGCAAGAATCGATTCAAGTAGTCTAGAACAGCTCCTACGAGAACGTATAACTGAGTAGTGATTTTGATCTCGATCATTCATTTATCAAACACAGTTCATCGAGATCTTTTGCCGCTTCTTGAAGAGCTTCTGCAGAACATCAGAATCGAACCTAGGCAAAAGTTTTGATAGCATACGATACAATGCAGAGCTGGGCAAAATAATTGAAGAGCTCGTACTCGAGCATCAGGCATTCTAAAAGATAAGAGTTGATAAGGTCGTTTTCCGGCTCCCAAAATATTTTAGTTTTTTTGTCTAGAAATCAATTCAACGATGATTCCTGATAAAACTGCAACAGTTTATTTCACAACGTCTTTCGAATAATTGCCAAGTTTTTACTGAACTTGTAGAAGAGCACAGGTGTGACTCGAGAAAATGATCGAGAGACGTTGAGAAATAAGCCTTTGCAATGTTATCGGATGTCGCCACTGATTTGGTTTCAATACCACAAAGATCAGATATGTTGACAGCAGAAAAGTGTCATTAGCTCTTTTCGTCTTAAATAAAATGTGTTATATTAAAGTAATATCAAGTATCCATTTCTTTTCTTTGTGATCTTATGTAAAAGTGCGATCATTTATATTCGACATATATGCTCTAACAGCGTTGAAGACATGTTTCGAAGTAGTCATATTTGAAACTCTCGTTCTCGAAAAAGTCCATATTTGTCTAGCTCTGATACAATGTTCAGTTTTGATTTCAAACAGATTTTCTCACATACCTCATATGAAGTGTGGTCAACCATTGTATCTAGTGGCCGTTGAGTCAGACGACACGTACTGTTGATCCACGATACTTCACATCTGACTAGTTCCTTGTCGTCAATAATGTTGATAGGTGTCGTATGGACCCAAATCTCATGTGATCCTGGAACGTATGCACATGCTACAAACCAACGCTTGGTATGAACCCAGAATTGAGTTCGAAATGGTACGACAAGTGACTCGAGATTGATGAAATGGTCGTTTCTACGATATCGATAAGTGACGAAGAATTCAAGTTTATCTAGTTCGGGCAGTGTGCTACAAACGAGTTGTTCCCAATAAGAGGCATCGAACATTGAGTCAAACTTTCGCTTCTTAGAAACAAGTTTGAGATGGCGAAGTGAAAGTATTGATGGAAGTAGAAACTCGAAATCTTGTGTACGAAGTGAACAACTACTGATGATTAAAGACTTCAGTGAAGGATGACATATAGATGCATCAGATGAAATCAATATATTATCCATATTATCTATAGTGTGATCATGCATAACGAGAGTTCGTAAGTGAGGCAACCGACGAAGAATGGCCAAATAGTCGCTGTAGTTGCACCTAGTAATTGTTAGGTGCTCTAACATGCATGGATTTGGCCAAACTACGTTTGCCATGTAGGGTACATTACTGAGGCATAGTTTTTGAAGATTCCATCGACTAAATACTGATGGGACTAGATACCATGCTCTGCTATTCATGTCTTCGCTTGATTCTATCGAAAGAGAGACCAAAAATTCGGTGCCCAAATTTTGTAAGAGATGCACCAAGTCTTCATCTTGAATTCGATGAAGACTCAGCGAATACAGTCGAGTAAAGCGATGGCAATCAAATAGCGACATAATTTGGTGTATCAAATTATAGCTCCAGTAGTTATTGAAAATTCTTAACGAAATGATTCTTTCTGGTTGAATAAGATGAGCAAGAGCTGTTATGTTATCGATTGATTGTGAATCCAAAATAAGCTCATATCGGTCATAAGTGTTGACAATGGCATACATTTGTTGGCAGATCGGACGAATCGAAAGAAGAATAGTACGAATATCGCAATAATCAAATACGCGATGGACCAGTTCAAAAGGTAGGCCAAGAAAAGATGCATTTGCCATTGAAGTAGTGGTCATAGTGGATCACGTTACAGATGCGGTGTTCTATAAACACGGAGAAAAAACATCAGCTGTGATCTCTGTCTGGCTCTCTCAACTTGAGCGACAATATGCAACTATATTATCCACGTTACACTGCATAATTTCAATGACTGAAGAGTCTCCACAGAAAAACATATGGAACTTCAGTGGATGGTGCTGTCAAATAAGAGTGAATGTAAAAAAGGAGAGTTCAGCGTATGAAGAGGACTACTTCTTTTCTTCTTTCATAAATTTTTATTGCCACTGTTCTATCAATGCCTACAATAAAAGCAACGTCTTCTAGCACATGGAGTAGCTAATTGTTCATAACATATCGTAAAGAAAAACAAACCTATTGCATATTCTACGAGCTTGTTTAGAAGCAAGCTATTCAATTGAAAACATAGTGTCGGACTAATTTCAGATACATCAGCTAGAGATCAGTTGTGCGAAGCAGATCAAATAATCGACGGACATCGACTAACAATAATAGTAATTAGTGCCAATGAAGATCAATTAAAGCTTTGAAAGAATAGCTCCGTACAAAGGAAGAAGTCTCTCGAAGATGTAGATTATGTTCTAAAACAATAAAATTCAGGGTTGTGTGCAGAGTGAGGTAGAAAGATTTGTCACTCGTTCACTATTGCGTAACGAATCCCTTTGTGAACAACAATAAGCAATAAACTTTCTATCGAAATGTTACTTTTCTTTATCTACGGTTAACTATTATGATGATTCAAATCTTGCAACAGATTCTAACAAACCTATGTGTGGTAGTGATCGCCCAAGACATGCTTCTTTACATGAAAACCTTGTCCACTAAGTGAAAACGCTGAACAGGACTTCTCTCTTTAATTCATCCATCTAATTGTTCTATTGAAGATGCTTGATCTACTAAGACGAGAACTAAGTAATTGTAGAACGAACTAGTAGTGCTCAAATGGGTAAAACAATGTAGCTGAAGACAATAATTAATGATAACAGGATTCATAGTTTTCTCCAGATAATGTACGAATTCTTGCTTCATTTCATGTACTAGACAGATGTATTATCTTGGTACAGAGAGTAAGAGTATGATCAAAAGAAAGTTATAGAGGGCTCCGCCATTTAACCATGCCTGTTGAGAGAGCAAAGGTTCCTCTGCTCACATCTTTAGGAGAGGCTCAAACTCGTTTTCAGCAAGACTTATCTATCCATGGTGAGGCTCAAAACCTTCTAAAGAGGGGCAGGGCAGTGGCAGCTGAGTCACAAGCCCCGTCTTATTGAGTCACTAACAGAAAGAAGGATATTTATCGATAAAGAACCGTCCGTTCATCAAAAGTTTCTACTATGGTCTAAGAATACGAAAAACCAGTTCATGAATAGTGGTTAGCTTCGATCAATGTTCTTGACAGTTGCCAGTCCTGTTTGATGTTCGAGTTTCCTAAAAGTGTCGAAGGAAAGAGCGAGTAAAACTGAACGATTAATGAGATTCTAGTGATAATCGAACAGCTACTTGTGTGAATAGCAATGGGCGGCGATGCACACATTGTTGAGATCTTTTTCGATCTTATACATCAAGATCGATTCAAGGAAATGCCATCAAGCGTTTTGAAAACTATTACAGAAAAAACGAAAATGAAATGTTTTTCTGAAAAAAAAAAATTTCCTTAGTCCGTTCAGAAGAACTTGTGATAGATACAACTTAATGGGATGATAATTGGAATGCATAAGTTTCTAAACAGGGACACTTGTTTCCACACTCTAAAACGGAAAATAAGTTATAGAAAACAGAAAAGAATATTCTGAGTATGTTCATACGAATTCGACGATGAATTTCGATTCTCTAGTTCGAAAACCACAGTCGTAATTATATGAGCATTTTCAGAATATTGAACTCGATTTCGCATTTTGGACACTTTCCAGAAGATAGAATATCTATTATCATTTTTCATCTTTACAATAAATTGTTCTATTAAGGAATTACTCTTATGTATCTAAATAAATATGCAGAAGTTCTAGCGGAAGTATAATTATATAAAATGAACTCTTTTGTGATAAGAAAAATGTCTCAAAAGTAAGCAATCAATTTTGTATGCAAAGACGATATAAAAAAGACAGCGTATACCTCAAAAACAAAAACAATGAGAAATATGGCAAAGATTTTCAGAAAAAAAATTATCTGTACTATCTCTCATCATTTCTGTTTTGATAAGAAAGTTGTATTTATATTTGACATGATTTTATTCTCTTTTATTTTATTTTTAATTTGATTCAATATTACTAATTGATTTAAATTTAAAAACTTTGTGACATTTCGTATCTTGATGAGATACTTCATCAGACATTAAAATTAAGACAAATGATATGTAAATAAATACAATAAAAACAAACAAAAAATTTTCTTTTTCTTTTTTTAATATTAGTCATACTTTTGATAGTGATACG